CTCTCGCGCCGCAGTCAACGAAAACCACCGTAGAAATCACCGAAATCGCGAAAGGGAAAATCACCACCAAACGAATGAGAAGTAGTAGGCCGGGGGCGTGGTTATTTTCAATATAATGATCCGCTTTATTGGAGTTCTAATTAGGAATTAAATGTACAAGTTGGAGTGAGAGAACCGCCGATCGCCCAGAGTCAAAAGCCTCCGCTGGAAGAGCGAGAGAGCAAGCTGCGCAAGAGCGCAAGCTGAGAGCGAGAGCGCGCTAAGGAGTGAGAGCGCGCTGAGGAGCTTTGAGGAAGCAGGAGCGCTTCGGAGTCGCACGGGGGGCAAACGAAAGCTCCTGACCTGAACAATATTCATTTTTAATTCAGCTTTTAGTTCGACTTTACTTTACTTGCTATTCTTAATTCTTGAAATTATTAATTTTATTTTTTTTATTATTATTTTTTTTTTTGTATGCTTTCTTCAAGATCTTAAATTTCTGCAGCTCAAAGGCCTTAAATCATTATTAATAAAATTATAATAGTTAAGTTAATATTTTTTTTTTTTTTTTTAATTTCAGAGATTATGTAATTAGGGTATTCAGTATTTATAAATTTTCCGCAGTGCATGATTTCGTTTAGTATATATTATTTCCAGAAAAAAATACAATATAATATAAATGTTTTAACCAACTCACAATACTTGATCCTCGACGAAAGATCGATCTCCCGGCGCAGGTGTCTGAAACGAAAATTAAGGCGCTTCGTCGCCAGAGTTTGGAAATATATATCTATGCCTCATCACTTTGGAATTCAAAACTAATTTAACTTAAAAGAAATATAATATTGTTCTAGCTGGTAAATTAAGCCGCGCTGAGAATCTAAACAGCATGATAGCAATCAAAATTTTTCTTGTTCACATGATAGAACTAAAATTATTTAGGTAAGAGAAAATATAATGAAAGAATTAATAGTCTAAATTAATTTAAATTAATCCAACAAAAATCATAAATGGCTTCGCAAAATTTATACCAGTGTACACGGGCCCGCATTTTAAATCTTTTATATTGTTTGAATTCACAGCGGGTTTATCATAAAATTGTTTTTTTTTTTTTTTTTTTTTAAGACTTTAATTCATGCCAAAATTTCTCTCCGTGTACACGTGGTTTTGGGGTTTTTCCTAACGCATGTCACAAATTAACGGCTCATCGAAATTTTACTTTAGCACTTATTTAATTACTCGATTGGCTTTAATTAATCGAACAAAAAAACGTGATGAGGGAGCTGCGCGACAGCTATGTGGCTCCTTTGGCCAAGGTGCAGGGGTGCTCCTCTGCCGTGTGGGCGAGGTGCGAGGGCGAGGGTGTTCCTCCGCCGTGTGGGCGAGGTGCGAGGGCGAGGGCGAGGGTGTTCCTCCGCCGTGTGTGCGGGGACGCGAGGGTGCTCCTCCGGCCAAAAATGCGAGGTGCTCCTCTGCCTTGGGTGCGAAATGCTCCTCTGGCCAATATGTGAGGTGCTCCTCTGCCGTGTGCGAGGTGCTCCTCGGCAGTGTGGGCGAGGTGCTCCTCTGCCAGGTGGCGAAATGCCCTGCAATAGGGTGCTCCGGCGGCGAAATGCCGCGCAACAGGGTGCTCCCCTGGACAACGACGATGCAGGGATCGGCCTAGAATGCCCTTTTAGTTAGCAACCACAAAAATATATATTTTCATACACAGCTACTCACAATTGCCGGCCAATAGAGGCACGGGGTCTTGCTGTTTCGGCCTGCTGGCCGCGGCGACCCCAAAGGTGCTCCAACAATTTTCCGCCTTAGATAAAAATTAATAAATTTAGCACTCGCACTGTCTGCTTCCGACGGAAAACTCACTTTATTTATAAAAATTCGATTATTAATCACTTTTTCTATTTTTTCCCGATTCTTTAGGTCGACTATGCCTTCAGCAATAAAAGGCCGCGATAACAAGAAAATTTGGCACGTCTAGTTGCCACGCCGGTCGGATGGAAAAGAATTAATCCGGATGCGAAAATTATTGGCCAAGGCCAAGAACGGAAATCATGGTCAGCTGAAAATCCCCATGTTGGATATATAGCTTTCCAAAACATCCCTGGATCGGCTGATTAGCACATATTTCCCAGTTGGCATCTCTGGTGCAGCTTGCTCAGCTTTAACCGGTTGCCAAAAATTGCATATAATAATAAGCTTTAATTAAGTAAAGCTTTAGGTATTACTAATGATTTATTAAAGCCTACTTTTAGTCCAAACAGGTTTTAAGGTCGCTACGTGCGCCGCTATCAGGCTAGGGTGTCACTTGCTAGATGCCCTAGACTGATCCCGCATGGAGCGACATCACTGGCGAATATCTTTCGCATGATATGTCCCTACTAACTTTCCTTGTAAATCTTCCAGTTCGTAAAAAGCGTTCCCTAGCCTTTTACGAACCCTAGCTTTCACAAAAGAGGGTCCAAATTTAGCATTATATCCTGTTTGAAAGCAGCTTTGCTTAAAATTTCGTCGAAAGACTTCTGGCCCTTCTACATACGCCACAACTCTGGACCTAAGATTGTACTGCTTCTCGTTCTCGGAGTGCTTTTCCAGCATCCTCTTGCATGCCTTCTCGCGCACTATCTCAAACGAGTCTTGACGGTCGAACTTTAAGGATCGGTCATCCAACAAGTTTAGTTTCCTCAGCAAAGAGTACGTGGAACCAGAGGTGATCATGTGTTGCCCAAAGACCATGTAGTAAGGGGTGGTACCTAGGCTTGAGTGTGTGGATGATCTCAACGCACAACTGATCCTATCTAAGTATTCGTCCCAGTCCTTTTGATCAGGCCGCAAATAAGCTCTAGTTGCAGCTATGACTGAGCGATTAACGCGCTCAGAAGCGTTAGTCTGCGGCGAATGCACAGCAGTCAGCGTATGTGTAATGCCGTACTGCTGCATCAACTTTTGGAATGCGTGCGAACGGAATTGGGATCCGTTGTCTGAAACGATCGTTTCGGGAGCGCCGTAAGACATGAATAACTCCCGTTCTAGGTACTTTATTACCACACCTGTATCTATTTTCTTTACTGGTTTGAGAAACACATATTTAGAAAAATGGTCAAGCACGATAAAAATCCCTATATTTCCACTTCTTGACCTGGGATAAGGTATAAGGATAAATAACCGTTGGAAAAATCGTTGAGTCTCCGGTGCTTTTCCTAACGGCGGTCGCAAAACATAGTTAGGTGCCTTAGTGGTTTTGCACACCTCACAAGCATTTATGTAAGCTTTAACATCTCCCACTAGTCCTGGCCAGAAATAATATCGCCTGACTCTCTCGATGGTCTTGTGTATTCCACCATGAGCCGACAATGGACTATCGTGAGCGCGAGAAAGTATCTCAGGTACCAGCTCCTTGGGTACCCATAACTTCCAGGCATATTCGTCGTGCACTTGCTCTCCTGTCAAGTGCTCGGCTTTCCGATAAATGTAACCGCTATCGGTCCTGAGATCAGGGAAATTCTTCAGATTTGCACTCACTTTCTGTACTAGCTCGGTATATTCCGCGGATTTAAAATGTTCTGAATTAAGATCCACGAGAATTCCTTCCCGTACGTCTATAGCCGCTATCACGTCTTCGTTAACCCGAGACAAGGAGTCGGGAACTACGTTAAGCGAGCCTTTGCGATGCTCAATCTCGAAGTCATACCTTTGCAAGGCCAATGCCCGAGCTAAACGTGAATTTAGGTCGTGATTCGACATTAACCATTTCAATGACGCGTGGTCGGTTATAATTTTGAATCTATGTCCTTCCACATACGCCCTAAAGTGCTTAAGAGCCACAATCGCCGCGAGGCATTCTTGCTCAGTGACTGTGTAATTGCGTTAAGCCTTGTTCAATTTCTTTGAAATGAAGGCAATAGGACGCTCATCACCTTCTTCGGAAACCTGCACTAATACAGCTCCTACTCCAGTTTTGCTCGCATCGCAATGTATTGCAAATGGTTTGGAAAAATCAGGACTACATAAGACTGGAGCCTCGCTAAGACATTGTTTTAGCTCTTCAAACGATTTTACTGCAGCCTGGGTCAAACAGAATCTTCTTTTCGTAGTCATCAGATCTGTTAAAGGAGCAGCAAGAGACGCAAAATTTGGAACGAACTTGCGATACCATCCACACAGACCCATAAAACTACGCAAACTACGCAACGTCTTAGGCAAAGGAAAATTCCTAATTGCGGCAACCTTTTCTGGATCGGTTCGGATTCCTCCATCGCCGATTATGTGGCCCAAGTATCGCACCCTCAGCATGCAGAAGTGACTTTTGCCAATATTGATCGTCAAACCTGCAGGCTTTATGTGTAGCGCTACCTCTCTTAGCACTTCGAGGTGCCTCTCGAAACTTGATGAAACCACCAACAGGTCATCTAGGTAAATAAAAACCTCGTTCCTAAGATGTGCTGGTACCACTTTGTCCATCAAACGAGACATTGTGCTGGTAGCATTGCACAGTCCGAATGGCATGACTGTGAACTGATAGAGAGGTCTACCCGGAACTGTGAATGCCGTCTTGTCACGCGATGCTATTTCTAAAGGCACTTGCCAATACGCATCCTTCAAATCAAGACTGGTAATAAATTCAGCCTTCGGCAAGCGACTCAAAATGCCACTAATTTGAGGAAGAGGATATGCATCCCTTTCGGTGAAACTATTCACCTTACGACAGTCTAAGCAAATTCGAACCTTTCCAGGTTTCTTTACCATAACGATTGGAGATGACCAAGAACTGTCGGACTCTTCTAGCACCCCAAGTTGTATCATCCTATCAATTTCGGCATACATTTCCTTTTCTACAGCCGGGGAGACAGGGAAATGACGCTGTTTAATTGGCTTAGCTATGCCTACATCGATAGCATGGGATATGAGATTGGTCTTACCGAGACCTTCCTGGCTAAACGACGGAAAACAATTTATCACATTCGTTAGCTTCGTCTTATCTATCTGGGACAACTTGTGTTGATCAACTTGGGCTTTGCCGACATTGTCAGTCGAGTTTAATTCCGATATGTTTAAACTTTTGGGAAATAGATCGTAAATCTTCCAGAAATCTATCCCCAAATACAAATCTTGCTTAAGCGACGGTACAATGTAAATTTTCAGTAGCTTCTTTACCTCGGCGTATTCGACCTCAGCATTAAAATACCCTATTATTTGCTGTGATCTGCCATCTGCTGTTTTAGCATGACTGTTTATGGCTTTATAAACCCCTTGGACTACTACCTCGCAAGCTAAGTTACCTCCTAGACAAATTATTGATGCGCCAGAGTCTAAAAGGCCGTAGACCGTACGATCCAGAACGCGAATTGGCAAAAACGGGCGAGGATTTTTTGACCCAGCAGGTAGTGAGTTTATATACTCTACACCAATTCTACAATTTCTGACGTTCTTCCAGAATGCTTTTATTCTACTAGAACTTCGAGATTTACGCTTTTCTAAGTCTTGGTGACCTTCACATTCAGGTATTATTATGTTCTTCAGTATTTGGATTTTGCTATGTAGCAAAGGACTAGCAGGTAATAGTTGTTCGTCAGGGATTGAAAGTTGTGCAACGTCAGCTGCATATTCTACTCTTCTGTCATTGTGGCTTGGCTCCGGAAGGCACTCGAAGTCTTCTGTTTGAATTGCGACTTCGGCGTGCCGGCTTTGGAGTTTTTTGAACACTTACTGCAACTTGGCTTGTAAGTATTGGCACCTCCACAACCGTAACAGAAAACTCTCCTTTCAGATACGCAATCCTGATATCTGTGCCCTTCCTTACGGCAGTTCCAACATAATAAGGAAAACGCTTCGACATCATCCTCACATTCAGGTTCTGAATGTAATTGAGTTTCATATTCCTGACTGAATTCGGACACTTCCCGTTTAAAAGGAGTGCTTCGCATGTATCCACTGCAACGCTTGACGTCAGCAAGAAAGGCTTCGCGCCTGCGACAAATCTCCCTTAAATCGGACACTGTATTTATTTCAATATTTAGAATTTCATGTCTTATTTCTGGACGCAAATTATTTCTAAGAACTCGAATTAATTTACTCGAAGTCCAAGGATGCTCCAGCTGATCGACTAAGCCAGATATTGTATCGTAAAAACAATCAAAAGACTCGTTTGGCTTTTGTTTTGTGTTACGAATCAATTCTTCGATGTCGCCATCATCTCTTCTTTGGCGAAACTGGAGACGCAAGGCTGAACAAAAAAGTGTCCCAATCAATCTCGCCGTTCGCTTTATGATAGCGCCAATAAAATTCATTGGCAAAGCAGACTGAAATTATTGCCTAATGTTTCTCGAGTAAGCGTATCCACTCTATAAATAAAATTATCTACCGAAACTCCTATGCCTGAAAATTTTATCTTCCATCCATTGAGGATATGCACGACCTTATCTGGTCGATTTAACAAGTCGGACGTAGTGCTTCTTTGGGAAGCTGGAGAACCCGGAGCCAAGAGGACTTGTCTTTGAGTGGTTCCAGT